GAAAAAGAACATTAGGCATCGTGGCACAGGCCTGGAGTTCCAGCTACTTTGGAAGGCTAAGGCAGGAGGATGGCTTGAGCCCAGGGGTTGGAGACTAGCCTGGACAATGAAGTGAGACCCTGTCTCTACAAATGGAAGGAAAGAGAAAAGGAAGGGAGGAAAGGAGGAAAGAAAGAAAGGAAGGAAAGAAAGAAGAAAGGAAGGGAGGATGGACAGATGGAAGGACAGGACAGTACAGGAAGAAGAAAGGACGGAAGAAAGGAAGGAAGGAAAGAATGTACGTATGTATGTTCAAAAATAGAAAGATGCACACAACATTGTGGTGTAGAAAAAAACAAGGCAGTGTGATCTCCACTACTTTTTTTTTAAGACAGGGTCTTACTGTGTTACCTGCACTAGAGTGCAGTGGTGTCATCATTGCTCACTGCAACCCCAAACTCCTGGACTTAAGCATTCAGCCTCCCAAGTAGCTGTGACTACAGGCACATGCCACCATGCCTGTTTAATTTTTACATTTTTTGTGGAGAATGGGTCTTGCTATGTTGGTCAGGCTCATCTTGACCTTCTGGCCTCAAGCATTCTCCTACCTTAGCCTCCCAAAGTGCTGGGATTACAGACATGAGCCACTGCACCTAGCCAACAAGATTTTTCTAAACAGTTTAACTCTATATCCTGTATCCATTTCTAGGAAGTTACCTTAGAGAAATCATCTGAAATGACATGAAGATTTGTGTACAAGGAAAGAAATTTCAAACACATTTTTCAAAGAAGCAAAACGTTAGAAACAAGCTAATTTTTTAAATATAAGGAAGTTAATAAATTACGGGGCCGGGTGTGGTGGATCATGCCTATAAGCCCAGCACTTTGGGAGGCCAAGGCAATAGAATGCTTGAGGCCAGCAGGTCAAGACAATCCTGGGCAACATAGTGACACCCCCGTCTACAGAAAAAATTAAAAAATTAGCTGGGCATGGTGGGGAGTGCCTGTTTTCCTAGCTACCTGGGAGGCTGAGGCAAGAGAATCACTTGAGCCCAGGAGCTGGAAGTTGCAATGAGCTATGGTCACACCAATGCACTCTAGCCAGTGAGGACCCTGTCTCACAAAAAAAAAGGAACAACCCCCACCAGCTCTTCTATCCCCTTCACCTGATTTATTTTTCTCTTTAATTATTATCATTATATAACATACTATTATTTTATTTATTTATCCTGTTTACAGTTTGTCCCTTTGGCCCCCCCCCCACTAGAATTAAGCTCTACGAGGAAAGGGATTTGTTAAATTCAGATTTATTAACTCCTGTATCAGAGTGTCTGATGCAGAGTAGACTCTCAATAAATATCTGTTCAACAAATGAATAAATAAAATGGTTTAGGAAAATAAATGCCAAACATCTTGGCTTTACCAAGAATAGAAGCAAATCTCTTACGATTAGGAATACTCTTTTTGGCTTAGTAACAATAAGTAATCACCTCCAAAGAAGGAAAAGTTTATCATAAGCCACAGAATACATAACCACATCAAAAACATACCCTTACAACAACTTATGCTTATAGTTAATACTGTACTGTACACTTAAAAATTTGTTAAGAGGGTAGATCTCATGTTAATGTATTTTTACCACAATAAGAACAAACAAACAAAAACTTGCCTTTGCTGGATGTGTATAAGAGTGCTGACTGAAAAGAAACCAACTGAGTGTCAGTAAGACTCTCTTCCACTGCCATCTGTACTGCATACCCAGCATCTGGGTTGACATTGGGCAAAGACAATAAGTCTGTTGACCGAACAAAGAAGTTCCCATGGAAAGTATGAATGGAAAGACCTAGAAGAGAAAAAATTATCAAAATGACTTATATATACTTACACATTGATACTTACATTTTATCCTAGTCACTTATCAGATAGGCAGAAAGTAAAAAAGTTTAGACAACACACAGTACATACTGAGGTTGAGGGGTAATAGGTGTCTTTTAAAATAAAGGTGGTAATACAAATTTTCATAAAAATTTTTGGGGGAATATTTGGCAATATCTGTCAAAATTCTAAATGGATACTTATTTTGACCTTAGCTATCCCATATCTAAGAATTTAACCTACAGATATACTCATTCAAGTGTCAAATTTGCACGTGCAAAAAATTTTTAAGCAGATGTTTGTTACAGCAAAAAATTCAGAGAAATGCCATCAATGGGTATCACTAGGAAAATAAATTGTGATTTGCCACATACATGCAGGCTTATACAGGAGGACTTTTGCTTTATCAATAACGTTTTTATTTTTTGTAAGAACAGATACATATTTTACTTGCGAAATAAAAACCAACTTTAAAACAGTAATCAGAAAGAAAAAGAGGCCAGCCATAGTGGCTCAAGCCTGTAATCCTAGCATTTTGGGAGGTCGAGGTGGGAAAATCACTTGAAGCCAGGAGTTCAAGACCAGCATGAGCAACATAGTGAGACCCTGTCTCTATGAAAAATAGAAAAAGTAGCTGGCATGGTGACATGC